ACGATCCGCTGAAGTTTTTGAAGTTGTTGTTGATGTCCATTTTGTTGTTGTTGATGTTGAGGTTCCTGTTGTTGTTGTTGTTGTTGTTGTTGATGCTGTTGATGTTGTTGTTGTTGATGTTGTCGTTGTTGTCGTTGTTGTTGTTGATGTTGTCCATTTTTCTGGGTGCTTCCATGTTGTTGTGACAAAAACAAGGTATATTGTTCATCGGTGTATTTAGCCAGGAGAGATTTAATAAACTGCATGCATGTGTTTGTGTGTGTTTGTATGAGTTTATTTGTGTGTGTGTGCGTTTGTAGGAGCGTGTGTGTGTGTGTGTGTGTGTGAGTGTGGGTACGGGTGCGTCTGTGTGAACATTTGCTGCTGCGTTAACATGGAGTTCATTATCAATTCAAAACGTTTAAAAAATAAAATAAAAATTATTTTTAAATTATAAAAAATTATTATCAGCTAGTTTTCGGACATGAATGAATGAACAAACAAACAAATAAATGATTGAATGAATGAGCAAACGAACAAATAAAAGACTGAATGAATGAATGAATGTACGGATAAGTGAACGAACGAATGAACAAATAAAAGAACGAACGAACAAATGAAAGAACGAATACTTAAAATATAATAATGCAATGGTCACTTAGTTGAAAGGCTGAAAATTAAAAAACTCAAAACGTAAAATTCATAGAATCAAAGAGAGAGAGAGAGAGAAAGAGAGAGAGAGAGAGAGAGAGAGAGAGAGAGAGAGAGAAAAGAGAAAAAATGACTGAATGAGAACAGTCAAAGAATGAATGAAGGGAAAAAAGTTGGGTGAATGATTGAAAAGAATTACCTTTGAATAAGAACCAAAAAACAGAGCTAGCTATTTATTGAACGAATGAAAAAAGTGAAAATGAATAAATGGTTGAGTAATTGAATGAATGAATGAGTGAATGAATGAATGAATGAATGAATGAATGAATGAAATAACGAATAAATGATAGAAAGAATAAGAAAAAGCCAACGAAGGAATGAAGGCGAGTTTCTAATTTCGTTAAATTAAAATATCAATTGAAGATTTTAATTTTACGACTACTCTAAATAGGATTGCTAAGATGATGATGTTGTTGTTATTGTTAATGTTGTTGTTGTTGACGTGACGTTTTTCTTGTTATTGTTGTTGCGGTTATTGATGTTAATGTATGTGTTAATGTTTTAAGAATGATGATTTCGTTGTTGTTCATGATGCTGTTGATGTTGTTGTTGTTGTAGTTGATGTTGTTGTTGTTGTTATTTTTCAAGTTTTTCAATAATTTTTTAAATTTCTTGGAAGGATTTTTTTTTTTAAAAATAGTTTTATACCAAAAAACATTCCAGAAAATATAATTCTCTAAATAAATTATTGACTAGGAAGTAGAGAGAGGTTGTTTAAATCAAATTTTAACGAAGGAATGAGTTTCATTTTTATCATAATTTATTTTCCATTTCAAGTTTTCAAGCAATATAAGCAATACATTTCGTAATGTATGTTTTTGTACGTTTCATATTCTTTCAAGTAAAAACTCAAGTGAATGAAAATGTATGTACGAGTGTGTGTGTGTGTGTGTGTTGCGTGCTTGTGTGTGTGTGTGTGTGTGTGTGTGTGTGTTAGTTATTTCACAGACGTGATATGATTTCTTTATAGACATTTCGTCGAGTTGTAGCTAGCAAATTGTACGGAGCCAAAAATAATTTTATTTTTAGCTCTCCAATTATTCAGTTATTATATTTTCTGGATGGGAACTTGAAAATAACGGAATGGAATTGAAAAGTAGAGAGTAATAAAATGGAACACAACAGCATCAGCATTAGCCGGCGGAATAAATAGAAAACGCTTTCGAATTATTTCTTCTGTTTTTTTTTGTTCCTCCTTTCTCGTTAAGTCATTTCGAATGCTTAAAATTTCAAAAAAAAACTTCGTTTGGGTGCAAGGCTATTTTCTCTCTCTCTCTCTTTCTCTCTCTCTCTCTCTTTATCTCTTCATCTTTTTTTTTCTCTCTCTTTATTTTTCACTCTCTCTCTCTCTCTTACTATTTATTTTTATTCTTCTTTTTCTCTTTTTCATCCCCTTCTCTTGTTTGCTCCCATTTTTTCGTTCTCCCTTCATGTCTGTCTGTTTCGCTATTTTATTGTGTATCTCTGTCTCTTTTCACACTCTCTCTTTGTCTCTTTCTCTCTCTCTTTTTCTCTCTTTGTACGTACATGCAGACGTAGGCATATGTTCGGAATACCAACTAAATAATTCAAGACTACAGTGTTGAAAACAAATGCAAATATAGAAATTATTGAAACAAACAAACTTGCACACACACACACGCACACAAACACACACACACACACACGTACGCACATACATGAGCACGTGCGTACATACATTTCTTTGTGCAATATGATGATTTTTCAACAATTTTTTTGGTAACCTGCATACAAATGTGACAATATGCGTGCCTTCGGAAGTGAAATTTGTGAGTTATTGGTTCATTCACTCGTACGTTCATTCGCTTGTTCGTTCGTTCATTCATTCATTCTTTTATTCATCTATTCATTCATTCATTTATTCATTCATCCATCGATTCATTCTTCAATCCACTTTCTATTCAATAATTTTATTAATTCGTTTATCAATCTGTCTAATCCAATCATCCTTCCATCCTTCAATCAACCATTCATTTATTCGTTCGTTCGTTCGTTCGTTCGTTTGTTTGTTCATTCGTTCATTCATTTGACCATTCATTCATTCATCCACCATTAAAACATTAAACTCAATCAATTTATCCAACCATAATAATCTTCTCAACCATCAATCAAGAAGACAGTAATATATATGTCTATCGTATATCATGTCAATGTCTCTCTCTTTTTTTTCTCTCTCTCTTTCTCCTTCTCTCCTTTTTTATTTTCCTCTTTCTCTCTCTCATCCTTTCTTTCTCTCATTTTCATCTACAAAGTTTTTAGCGATTTATAACTAGATTGAATAGTTTATAATATTTTTTATTTCGTTTAACCGTCTATCAAACGACATGAATCGATTAATTTATTGTCATTCTTTCCTCCATTCACTCATTCATTCATTTATTCGTTCGTTCGTTCGTTCATTCATTCATTCATTCATTCATTCATTCATTCATTCATTCATTCATTCATTCATTCGTTTGTTCCTTCGTTAGTTCGTTCGTTCGTTCATTCATTCTTTTATTATTTCATAATTTTTTCAGCATTTTATCGACATTTATTTCAGTGGACAGGAGCCAATTGGGTTTTTACGGTCAGATGGAATCGAAATAAAATAAATAAAATGAATAAAAAAATTAAATAATAACAAAATAAATAAATGAATGAATAAATGAATGAATAAATGAATGAATGAATGAATGAATGAATTCATCTCTCCATCCATACTTCATTTATTGAACTTATAATGATAATGAATTTATTCATCTCTCCCACCTATTCATAAGCCATGTTACGCAATAGTGTCATGGCAAACAACTTAAAATTATTTCAAAACCGTCTAATACAAATACAAATACATTACATACATACAAACGAACATACAAACGTACATACAAAAATACATACATACATACAAACATACATACAAACAGCATATGCTGCATACATGCATACATACATACAAACATACAAACAGCATATGCATACATACATACAAACAAACAAACATACATTCGTACAGCATCATTAAAGCCTAACATACGAACCGTGTAAACACGCATATATAAAATTCCTGAGACTTACAGTAAACACGCTATCCAATACTTTGGATGGGTGCTCACACACACACACACACACACACACACACACACACACACACACACACACACACATGTGTATATAGGGTATACATTTATATAAGGCATATATATGGATATAAAGACTATACGTATGTATAAAACATATATGCATATAAATATGTACATAAATATGTAAACACATCCATGTATACATATCACATAAAGAACAGACGATGATTACAAACACGTTTGCAAATGCAAACAATTTCATTCAACTAACTTCTCTATAATTTTGTTGTTGTTGTTTTTGTTGATGATGTTGATGTTGTTGATGTTGTTGTTGTTGTTGTTGATGTTGTTGATTTTGTCTTTTGTTGGCAATATCAACGACGTAATCGACTCCGACTAGAAGCGGTATAGTTGAGAACCAAGTCGTCGGTATGTTAATATTGTTGTTAATGTTATTGTTGATGTTGCTGCTGTTGATGTTGTTGTTGCTGTTGTTGATGATGTTGTTGATGTTGTTGTAGTTGTTGTAGTTGTAGTTGCTATTTTGTTTTTTTTTGTCAATATTATCGTGATCAAGTGTGACGGGGTTTATATTTTTCGGTGGAGAGTTATGGCTATGGGCTGAAGTTCGATACGTATTATGTTTGTTGATGTTGTTGCTGTTGCTGTTGTTGTTGTTGATGTTGTGGTTTATGTTGTTGTTGATTTTGTTGTTGTTGATGTTGTTGTTGATGTTTTTGTTAATGTTATGTGTTTGTAACTTGTTATATGGAAGGTCATTCATGGGAACATTGTCCTGATTAGAATAATCATCATAACCAGCGCTATCACCATAATTACCACCACCACCAACATCATCATCATCATCATCTTCTTCTTCTTCTTCTTCATCACCATGAACATCACCGTATCTTGTTTGCGTCATGAATTCATTATTACTAAAAGACGGTTGGTTTATTGCTAATGGGAGCATAGTTTTGTTGTTGTCGCTGGTGTTGTCGTAGTTGTTGCTGTTGTTTATATTGTTGTTGAAGATGTTGTCGTTGTTGTTGTTGATGTTGTTGTTGCTGTTGTTGTCTTTGTTTCTTTTTGTTTTATTGATTGGTTGGTCACCATCAAAGTAATTTACATCCCCATTGCTATTTAATGCAAGTTTTTCAAATGGAAAATGTCTACTGTTGTGATGTTGTTGTGGTTGTAGTAGTAGTAGTAGTTGTTGTTGTTGTTGTGGTGGTTGTTGTTTGACATTTCTCTTTTCATTATTTGCTATCTTTGATTGATAGTCGGGTCTATAAGTTTGTTTATTTAAATGAGGGCGCGTTAGGTGCATTATGCTCTGCTCGAGTTTGCTAATGTAGTGATGGTTGTTGTTGATGTTGTTGAAGTAGTAGTTATTGTTTTTGTTGTTGCTGTTGTTGTTTTTATTTTGTTGTTGTCCAAACAGATTAAAATGAAATGATGGATCTAGTTGCAGATGCGTGTGCCTCTGTTTGTTTAAATTTCGTTGGGTCCGTGATCGTTGATTTGGTTTTGGTAGGCTTTGTAGATTTTGTAGACGATGGTGTTGTTGATGCTGTTGTAGTTTCAACTGCTGCTGTTGGCTTTGCTGAAGCTGCTGTAGTTGTCTTTGTTGTAGTTGCAGTTGTTGATGTAGTTCCAGCCGTTGCCGCTGTTGTTGTCGTTGCAGCTGCTGCTTAAGCTTCCAGACATGAACGACATTCTCCAGCATCAGCGACCTCACGTCCGTCGGCAGGACACTCATCAATCCGCCGTCCACACGTGGCCGGTATGGTCCCGGAAGTAAGAACCATGATGATGATGACGTAGATGATGATGACGTAGATGATGATGACCTAGATGATGATGACCTAGATGATGATAACAAAGATAGTTTAGTTGCAGATGACAATGACGTTTCGGTGGATTTTGTCGACAAAGTTGCTGCTGTAGCTGCTGCTGTAGCTGCTGCTGTAGCTGCTGCTGCTGATGCAGATGTTATTGACAAGTAAGATGACAATGGCGATGATGGTGACGTAAAAGGTGACGTACGTTGGGAATTTGATTTTTGTAGCGCATATTTTTTAATTAGATAGGAAGCGTCGATAATATTGTTTACTGTTTGCCGGTGTAGGCATTTCATCATGACGTCCACTCGTTCTGGAAACATATTGATTTGTTGCTCTTGTGTGGAGAGTAATTTTCTTTTTAAAATTTTTTTATCTATGTTGTTGTCAATGTTGATGTTGTTGTTGATGTTGTTGCTGTTGTCGATGATGTTGTAGTTGTTTGTTGTTGTTGATGTTGTTAATGTTGTCCTGTTAAGTACTGGTTTGTAGTTGATGTCTTTGGTGTTGGTGTTATTATTGTTATTATCATGATTATGATTATTATTATTATTGTTGTTGTGGTTGTTGTTATTGTTGATGTTATGATTGTCATCTGCGTTTGAAGAAAAACAACCGAGAAGATAAGCTAGTAAGGTCGTGTAATAAAGATGAGATTTAATGTTATTGTTGTGGTGCATTTTTTCCGCGTTTCCATAAAATTTATCATCGGCTATTAATTTATCGGCGCTGTAATATGGACTGCTATTTATTAATAATTTATGGTTAATATTATTCTTCTTCTTCTTATTATTATTATTATTATCATTGTTATTATTGCTATTAGTATAGTTGTTATTGTTATTATTATTATTAATGTTGTTGTTGTTGTTGTTTGACATGTTGTTTCTTTCGGCGACGCAGTCCATACAGAGGGCAGACCCGCCAAGTAGCACGACCCTGTGGAATAGGGCCTGCCCTGGAAATAATAAGTATAATAATGATGATAATGATAATAATAATATTAATTAAACACTATCACTACTATTACTAATAATAATATTAACCAGAACAGCAGCACAGAATTACTGCTAATATTATAAGTTACAAGTTAATTTCGAAACTAACGATGCAAAAAAAATGAGGATTGTGATGACGATGATGACGATGATACATACCTCTGGTCAGCGGAGAAACCATCAAAATTTGTACCAACGAGGCACCGAACTTGTGCCCTACTAGGGTCACTGAACTTTTGTTGCCCTGAAAACCTGATGACGATGATGGTGGCAAGGACGATGATGACGATGGTGGTGATGATAATGATGACGATGGTGGTGATGATGATGATGGTGGCGACAAAGATGATGGTGATGATGAGGATAAAAACTGACCGGCGATGTTGTTGTTGACCCAATGTAAGGCTGCTGCGATATCAAATAAGGCGTTGTTCCCCCGAGCCTTCGTGTCCTCTGTGCTTAGATAGCCTGCGATGTTTCATTATTATTATTATTATTATTATTATTATTTTTGTTGTTGTTGTTGTTCTTGTTGTTGTTGTGGTTGTTGTTGTTGTTTTCTTATTGTTTTTAATTGGAAAATTTGCAATGCCCTATATACAGTTAAGTGATTTCGATTCGTCATCGTTGTTAAATAAAAAAATTAGAAAGAGAGAGGAAAAGAGAGAGAAAAAGAGAGAGAAAGAGAATCGGATATCTAAATATGGACATGAGTAATCTTATAAAATATGGATAAAAAGGCATTTAAGTGGTAGGCATTAGGAAGCTCTTGAGATTGAAAATAAATTTCAAAGAAGAGGGAATAAATGGTCAGGTTATGGTCAGTTTTGTTGTAACGTTCTAACCCTGTGTAGAAATTATTATTAAAATTATCATCGTCGTCCTTACCGCCATTAAAAAAATGGGTGAAAATGGTAAAAGAATGCATGTTTGAATGAATGAATTAATAGATGAATGAATGAATGAATTAATAGATGAATGAATGAATGAATAAATGAAGAAATGAATGAAAAGTGAATGAATGCGTTGATGAATGGATGAACGAACAAACGAATGAACGGATTGGTCAATATAATTAATTGAAAAAAAGTTAAAAAGACGCACCTAAAACTCCGACTCGATAGTTCAAGGTCACAACAATCACGTGACCGAAGGCGGCCAGGTAACTTCCGTCGTATGCATTGCCGGTTCCGGTGTCATAGCTGACGCCGTGCACAAACACGATGACCGGAAATAGTGATGTGCTGTCTTTGATGGAGAACAGAGATACAAATTTTGAGAATATGCTATTTTTATTCTATTACATCATTAGTAATATCGAAAGAGGGAGAGAGGGAGAAAAAGAGAAAGTTTAGTTTTGAAGTGAATAAATTCAGAGAATAGTGCAAAAAACTCAAAAATGATGATGATGATGTGAGAAGAATAAAAATGAAAAAAAGAAATATGATAGTTTAGTTTGATTAAAATATTAGAACAGAAAAATTTCAACATTGTTAACGAGAATGTATTGAGGAGACAACGATAAAATGAATAGAGAGGGAGAGAGA